AGCCTCTGTCGGAGGAAACTCGGAGGAGTGAGGGGCGGCGTGCTGTTGCCCCTCGACGTAGGGGACGTAGGAAGGGCCAGGCCCCTGAGGAAGGGGAGGGAGAGACCGAGGAAGACCAGAGACAAGGACATGGGAGGCCATGCCTCGGAGACGAGGCAGGGAGGGATGACCAAGGCGGTGGTGCCAAAGGAGAGTGTGGTGGGACAGCAAACGACACGAGCAGGGGGCAGACTCAGAACCAGACCTGGACGCCGCAGCAAACACCTGACTCGACGCAGCCACCTGGGCAGACTCAGTAGTAAGGGTGTACAGGCTCGACCTTGGCCGATGGGTGAACATGGCCAAGTGTCGGCCTGTCCGAGCACACGAGCAGTGGGTCACTCGCTGACTCGCAGGAGTGAACTGGTAAACCCCTCGATCCTGTAGGTCCGCTCCACTCACCAAGTTCGTAGAGAACGAGGGGAGGTAGAGACCAGACAGGGTGCCAGAGGGGGCTGCAGGGCACGGAAAACAGTGGAGAAGCTAGCAAGGACAGGACCCCCAGAGGGGTCTACCACGGAGACTGCAACCGGCCGACTAAGCGGCGTAAGAGTGGTGCGGTCTCGAAAGAAGGAGCGGGACGCACCCGAGTCCACGGTGAAGTTGTGGAAGGCCTGAGCCGACGTAGTACCTGAGAGAGCAGACTCACCAGCACCTGGGGCGGCACACGCACTAGCACCTAGAGCAGCAGTCTCACCAGCACCTAGCGCAGCAGCCTCAATGCCCGGGCTAGGCGCTACACACAGGTTACAAGCACCCTCAACACTATCAGCAACAGCATACATGGCAGCAAGAATAGCATCAAAGTCAAGATCAAAGATAGCAACCCCGGCCTTAGCCAGATCTCCCCAGCGAGGGATCTCTGACGCCTCAGGGAACTGGCGACGCCACCCGTCCGTCAGGCGACCAAAGCAGCGCTGGGTGGAGTGCGGGCCTCCGCACTGCTCACCAATGTGGTCGCCGGTACGGAGAACGTAAGAGCAGGGACCAAAACCTTCACTGCGCTAACGTGCAATGTACCACTCACGAAGCTGCTGCGGGGACAGGGTCACACCACTTCGCTGCTACTGCTGGCGCTGACCACCACCGGCGCCACTCCTCTGCGCAGAGTCGCGACTCGCTCCACATCGTCGCCTCCGCCGCCGCCGCCTCCGCCGCCGCCGCCGCCTCCGCCGCCTACGCCGCCTCCTCCACCTCCGCCTCCTCCACTCCCCCCGCCGCCTCCGCTCCCTCCGCCACCTCCACCACCTCCGCCGCCTCCACTGCTGCCGCCTCCGCCGCTACCCCCGGCACCACTCCCACCACCACCCCCACTCCCTCCACCGCCTCCACCAGCACCTCCACCGCCCCCTCCAGCCCCTCCAGTGCCCTTGCCCCCCTTACCCTTGCCAGTGCGGCGTCTCCCGCTCGGGGCAGACGCAGCGCCGACCAGCTCGAAACCAACGAGGTCGGCCGTAGCAGCAGAGGGCAAGAGGGGGGAGGGAGAACACCCCTCAAAGACGGGGGTGCGAGGGTCACCACGAGAGGCTCCTACAGCGACTATGCTCTTCTCTATCGCTAGGAGGGCCTTCTCGAGGAGGTCAACGATGAGAGTGGTGGGGCAAACAGAGAGGAAGTGGTCCCTGACTACGCGGAGAGAGTCAGGGAGCCGGGTGACTATGTAGTAGAGGGTGATGTACATGGGGGTGGGGTCTTGGCGCAGAACTCAGCATGAAGCGCAGCGCGGTAGCGAGTGTCACTAGTGCGGAGGTGCGTAATGAGGTCAGCGATAGTGGGAAAGGCAGCAAGGTCAGGGAAGAGGTACGGTAGCATGAGGCGGCTCAGTGAAGCAGTGGCAGGGGAAGAGTAGCGTGCAACTACAGCGTCGTACAAGGTCTGAGCACTCTTGTACTGGCTAAAGTGTGCACGCTCAGTGGTCGGTAAGTGGCGGCGCACAGCAAGGCGAGCAGCAGCGTCACGTGTGGCCCACTGTGAGCAAACAGTGGCATCAGCATCAGCAGCAGGGGCAAGGGAGGCACCAGAAGTGAGGTCAAGCAGGGAGAGGCCGTCTGTCCTATCGCACTGCAGGAAAAGCTGCAGATCATCTACCCAGACCTCAAAGTCCACTGCCCGACCCCCAGCGTCAAAGGTGAGAACGCTAGGGGAAGCCATAACAGCAGTAGGCAGGCAGTGAGGACAGTGAGGCAGGGCAGTGCAGTGGCAGAGACTGTGCTCTTACCAGACAGGTGGGGCGATCGGGCTGCTCGGCGGCTCGGCTGTCGAGCGGCTCGGCTGCTGGGCAGCTCGGTTGCTGGGCGGCTCGGCTGCACGGTGCTGGGCGGCTCGGCTGTCGGGCGGCTCGGCTGCTGGGCGGCTCGGCGGTCGGGCGGCTTGGTTGATGGGCGGCTCGGGCGGTCGGGCGGCTTAGCTGGCCGGCGGTTCAGCTACTCGGCGCTGGGCGGCAGGGTCGCAGGTGGTGGCGAGGTTGCGGTTGGCGGCGGGGCCTAAGGTGGTGGCGGGCCGCAAGGGTGGGCGGGGCCGCAGTGGGCGACGGGGCCGCGGTGGCGACGGGGCCGAAGTGGGCGACGGGGCCGCAGGTGGCGACGGGGCCGCAGGTGGCGACGGGGCCGTAGCGGGGCCGTAGCGGGGCCTAAGTGGGGCCGTAGCGGGGCCGAGGTGGGGCCGTAGCGGGGCCGTAGCGAGGCCTAAGCGGGGCCGTAGCGGGGCTGTAGCGGGGCTGCGACGGGGCCGTAGCGGGGCCTAAGCGGGGCCGTAGCGGGGGCCGAAGCGGGGCCTAAGCGAGGCCGTAGCGGGGTCGACGGGACCGTAGCGGGGCCGTAGCGGGGCCGTAGCGGGGCCTAAGCGGGGCCGTAGCGGGGCCGAAGCTGGGCCTAAGCGGGGCCGTAGCGGGGCCGACGAGGCCGTAACTGGGCCGTAGCGTGGCCGTAGCGGGGCCGTAGCAGGGGCGACGGGGCCGTAGCGGGGTCGTAGCGTTGCCCAAGCGGGGCCGTAGCAGGGCCGACGGGGGCGTATTGGGGCCGTAGCGGGGCCTAAGCGGGGCCGTAGCGGGGCCGACGGGGCCGTAAGCGGCCTAAGCGAGGCCATAGAGGGCGGCTCGAGGGGCAGTAAGGGCGGCCAACAGGGGCCACTAAGGCGGCTCGAGGCGTTACTCGGGTTAGGAGCTAAGCGCGCTCCGGGCAGGGAAGGAAAAAAAAGTTCGTGGTGGGCCCTAGGCAGTATTCCCACTCGGGAGCCTGCTCGATACCATGACGAGAAGTGAGAACGGAATGAATGAACTATGAAACAGTTGGGTACAAGTACTAACCCTAATTGGGTTGTACCCCTTATGGGCTACCCCAGTACAGCCTACACAAATGTATAAGCTATAATGTTCTGACAACTACTATGTATTTGCCGCGTCAATTTACCACGTGCTAAACCACATTCCTTCTCATTTCCTAGTTTGTTTTGACTGAACCTATATTTCATGAGTTGCCAAAATGATGTACTGTGAACGTGTGACTGTTTATTCCGTGATGCATATGTCTGATGCTGTTATGCGTGAAGTAAATGCAAATGCATAAGTATAATGCATACACTACCGGTAGTGAAATTAATGCATAGCATGATGGAAATGCGTATCAGTTAATTGACGCCGACCCTATGCTACCGCGTCCCCTGCCTAGCATGGGGGGGAGCTCATTAGCATAGTTTCTGAATCATTCAATTGTTACATGAAACAACACAATCTGTGTGATCTAAAAAAGGGTCAATTCTATCAAATCCAGTTTGAATGGACACACTAACTGAATGCGCAAAGAACCTTCTCGGAAATGATAGTTTGATCCCAATTTTTATTAATGCAAGAAAACATGAATGAAAACGCATACGCACACAACACAACGCATACCGACACAATTTATAAAGACGTTTAGCATACTAATACCTTTCATCTGTCTCACACTCGTTGTTCTCACTCTCGCGAAAGTTTGTACTCGCTTTCATGGTCTGTTCAAATGTCTACTTATTAACCCATTAACCTTTTAAACCCCTTTGAGCATCTTCCCCGCTGTTCCAAATCGCTCACAGCTTCACCATCGCTGCACAAAAAAGAGGGGGCAATTTCCAAGTGTAAGAAAAAATTGATATACGTCAATCAAACTACTATTATAATGAGCACATGTAGATAACCACAATAAGAAGGGTGCTCACGTCCTGTCTCTTTTTGGCGGGTGTTGACGAAATCGGTGTGCTCGATGTGTCAAAGTTGTCAGAAAATTATAGCTTATACATTTGTGTAGGCTGTAGTGGGGTAGCCCATAAGGGGTACAACCCAATTAGGGTTAGTACTTGTACCCAACTCTTTCATAGTCCAACCATTCTCTCGTTCTAACTTTCACATGGTATAGAGCTGGTTCCCTCATGGGAACTGTTCCTAGGGCTCACCGACTTTTTTTTCCTGCCCGGAGCACGCTTGGCCCCTGCCCGAGTCGCGCCCCGTGTCGTTCCCCCTCTAGCGGCCTCTAGCGGCCCCTTTTACGGCCCCTAACGGCCCTGTCGCGCCGCCCTTGTGGCCCCGTTGCGCCGCCCTTGCGGCCCCGTCGCGCCGCCCTTGCGGCCCCGTCGCGCCGCCCTTTAAGCGGCCCCGTCGCCGCCCCTTACTGCGGCCCTATCGCCGCCCTTTCAGCGGCCCCGTCGCCGCGCTTTCAGCGGCCCCGTCGCCGCCCTTCCATGGCCCCGTCGCCGCCCTTCCACGACCTTGCCGCCCGCCATTACAGCGGCCCCGTCGCTGCCCTTCTGCGGCCCCGACACCGCCCTTCTGCGGCCTAGTCGCTGCCCTCCAGCTGCCCCGTCGCCGCCCTTCAGCGGCCCCGTCGCCGCCATTTCAGCGGCCCCGTCGCCGCCCTTTCAGCGGCCCCATCGCCGCCCGACCTTTCAGCGGCCCTGTCGCCGCCCTTCCGCGGCCCCGTCGCCGCCCTGCAATGGCCCTGTCGCCCCCCCCCCTCTTCCGCGGCCCATTCGCCGCCCTTTCAGCGGCCCGTCGTCGCCCTTTCAGCGGCCCCGTCGCCGCCCTTTCAGCGGCCCCGTCGACGCCCGCCCTTTCAGCGGCCCCGTCGCCGCCCTTCCGCGGCCCCGTCGCGCCCCCCCCTTTCGCGGCCCTGTCGCCGCCCTTTCAGCGGCCCGTCGCCGCCCTTTCAGCGGCCCGTCGCCGCCCTTTCAGCGGCCCTGTCGCCGCCCTTCCACGGCCCCGTTGCCGCTCAGCCGCCGAGCAGCCCAGCCACCGAGCAGCCGAGCCATCTTGCAGCCGAGCCGCCCGAGTGCCGAGCCGTCCAGCAGCCGAGCCACCGAGCCGCACCGCAGCCAAGCACTGCTGCCTGTCGGCCTGCCCGGGACCTCCCCACTTGTCTGGTAAGAGCAGCGTCTCTGCCACTGCACTACCCTGCTCCACTGTACTCACTGCCTCTCTACTGCTGTCATGGCCTTCCCTAGTGTTCTCACCTTTGACGCTGAGGGTCGGGCAGTTGACTTTGAGGTCTGGGTAGATGATCTGGAGCTTTTCCTACAGTGCGATAGGGCAGACAGTCTCTCGTTTGACCTCACTTCTGGTGCCTCTCCTGCCCGTGCTGCTGATGCTGACGCCACTATTCGCTCACAGTGGGCAACGCGTGATGCTGCTGCTCGCCTTGCTGTGCGCCGCCACTTACCGACCACTAAGCGTGCACACTTTAGCCAGTACAAGAGTGCTCAGACCTTGTACGACGCTGTAGCTGCACGCTACTCTTCCCCTGCCACTGCTGCACTGAGCCGCCTCATGCTACCGTACCTCTTCCCTGACCTTACTGCCTTTCCCACAGTCGCTGACCTCATTACGCACCTCCGCACTAGTGACACTCGCTACCGCGTTGCGCTTCCTGCTAATTTCTGCGCCAAGAACCCCCCCCCCATGTACATCACCCTCTACTACATAGTCACCCGGCTCCCTGACTCTCTCCGCGTAGTCAGGGACCACTTCCTCTCAGTTTGCCCCACCACTCTCATCGTTGACCTCCTCGAGAAGGCCCTCCTAGCGATAGAGAAGAGCATAGTCGCTGTAGGAGCCTCTCGTGGTGACCCTCGCACCCCCGTCTTTGAGGGGTGTTCTCCCTCCCCCCTCTTGCCCTCAGTTGCCTCTGCTGCTGCGGCTGACCTCGTTGGTTTCGAGTCGGTCGGCGCTGTGTCTGCAACGAGCGGGAAATGCCGCACCGGCAAGGGTAAGGGGGGCAAGGGCACTGGAGGGGCTGGAGGGGGCAGTGGAGGTGGTGGTGGAGGCAGTGGAGGGAGTGGGGGTTGTGGTGGGAGTGGTGCCGGGGGTGGCGGCGGCGGCGGCAGTAGTGGAGGCGGCGGAGGCGGTGGAGGTGGCGGAGGGAGCGGAGGCGGCGGAGGTGGCGGAGGAGGCGGAGGTGGAGGAGGCGGCGGAGGCGACGGCGGCGGCGGCGGTGGTGGAGCGGGTCGCGACTCTGCGCAGATGAGTGGCTCAGGTGGTGGCCCGCGCCAGCAGCAGCGGAGTGGTGTGACTCTGTCCCCTTAGTAGCTTCGTGAGTGGTACACTGCGCGTCAGCGCGGTGGGGGTTTTGGTCCCTGCACTTACGTCCTCCGTACCGGCCACCGCACTGGTGAGCAGTGCGGAGGCCCGCACTCCATCCAGCGGTGCTTTGGTCGCCTGACGGACATGTGGCGTCGCCAGTTCCTAGAGGCGTTAGAGATCCCTCGTTGGGGAGATCTGGCTAAGGCCGGGGTTGCTATCTTTGATCTTGACTTTGATGCTATTCTTGCTGCCATGTATGCTGTTGCTGATAGTGTTGAGGGTGCTTGTTACCTGTGTGTAGCGCCTAACCCGGGCATTGAGGCTGCTGCGCTAGGTGCTGGTGAGACTGCTGCTCTAGGTGCTAGTGCGTGTGCCGCCCCAGGTGCTGGTGAGTCTGCTCTTTCAGGTACTACGTCGGCTCAGGCCTTACACACCTTCACCCTTGACTTGGATGCGTCCCGCTCCTTCTTTCGAGACCGCACCACTCTTACGCCGCTTAGTCGGCCGGTTGCAGTCTCCCTGGCGGACCTCTCTGGGGGTCCTGTCCTTGCTAGCTTCTCCACTGTCTTACCGTGCCCGGCAGCCCCCTCTGGCATCATGTCATGTGTCTACCTCCCCTCGTTCTCTACAAACTTGGTGAGTGGAGCGGACCTACAGGATAGGGGGGTTGACTAGTTCACTCCTGCGAGTCAGCGGGTGACCCACTGCACATATCCTCGGACAGGCCGACACCTGGCCACGTTCACCCGTCGGCCAGGGTCGAGTCTGTACACTCTTACAACTGAGTCTCCTCCGGCTGCTGAGTCTAGCGAGGTAGCTGCGTCGAGTCAGGTGTTTGCTGCAGCGTCCATGTGAGAGGACGTCCCCGTTATAATATTTTCTCACTATTCTATTTTTCCGTTATCCTATTCTCCCTTTTCTCCTCTTTATTTTGGTCTTTATCTCATCTCAATCGGCCTACTATTCTATTTTCTAGAGCCTTCTATTTATTTCTCTTATTTCCTACTTTTCCCACCGACATACCTATTATACGGCACCGACAGCGCCGACAGTGGTGTATACGGTGTAATCTGGGCGTAATCCCAAGTGCCAATAGACTTGCGTGCTTATGCGCACTTGTGATTGTAGTATCGGGAAGGGTGTGTTCCCGAAGGTTCGTTTTATCTCATTTATCCTTGTACTTTCTGAGTATAAATAGGCCTTGTATTCAGTTTTAGTGACAAGTTTCGATTGAGAATTCGATCCTGTGACACTTGGTAATCAGAGCCGTTCTCACTCGACAACTCTCGACTAAGCAGCGGTCGCGGAAAAAATCGCCTCGAAAAACCGCCGGGGGTGACCAATTCGACGCCGATTTCTGGTAAGTACCAGTTCCGCGCTTTTCGAATTAACCCCCTCGCGTGGTTTTTGAACAGGATTGGTTCGCCGGCGACCAACGACGTTACGCAGCAGCTCTTCGCGCAAATCGCCAAGATGGAAGCGGAGATGCGAGCGACGACTGAACGGTCGCGATTGGAGAACGAGCAGATGCGAAACGAACTGCAGCGCGTTACGCGGCTCCTCTCGACCATGAACATTCCTGCTTCGACGACTTCGCAACAGTCGCAGCGTCAGTTCGAGGTTCCGAAACTTCGCTCGCCGGAATCGTTCGACCCTAGCGATCGAAAATCCGACGTCAGGCGGTGGCTCGCGACGATGGTGTCAAGAGTTGAACGAGAATGAGAGAAGATTAAGTAGGGCCTAGGCTTAGTAGCCTAGGCCCAAGTAGGATATCGAGCGGGTTTCTCCTAGGGTGAGTATCGAGTGAGTTGAAGAGAAGTTGGGAGAATGAGGAGCTTCACTATAGTTTTGAAGTACATATAGCAAAGGAAACACATAAGGTGCACCACCAATACAAAGTTTAAATAACTACACTACTGCTAGAACTACATGCAGTTATAATAAATATAATTTTGACATCCCCCCGTAACTGCATGCAGGAATAGCTAAGTGCAGAGCACAACCTGCAGAGGTACACCAACGAACAATAAAACAAGCAACAGCAGGTACACCCCCTCCATCTCCTCACCCTCCCCCTTCCCCTCCCCCACACTGCTGCAGAAGCAGCAGAGAAAGGGGGAAGAGAGGAGAGGTGGAGGGACGGCTGCTTGTTGCCTCACACCCGCCACCCCGATACCACTCCCCCTGCTCCCCCACATCCTCACACCCTCCTCCCCCAGCGGCAGCTGCAGCGGTGGGACTGAAAGAAGGAGGAGGGGAAGGGAGAGAGGTGACGCCACACTCCAACACCCTCCACCCCCATACCCTCCTCCCCACGGCTGCAGGGAGGCAAAGGAAGAAGGGGGGTGGGAAGGAAGAAAGCCGCAGAGCGGCGAAGAGGTGTCGGTGCAGATGGGTCAGGGGCGGCTTCAGGGAGTGCAGGGGCGGAAAGAAGGCCCGTCGCGGGCCAGTGCCACGGGGCGCACGACGGGTAGAATAAAAGGGCCCGATCGTGTGCCTCGGGGCACACGACGAGCAGGGCACCATCGTGTGCCACGGGGCGCACGATGGGCAGTTGAAGGGCACCGTCACGTGCCACGGGGCGCGCGACGGGCAGGGAAGGAGTCACACGCCCGTGGGCGGGACAAGGTAAAAATAAAATCGTCACGCGCCCTAGGCGCGCGACCGGAAAATATTAGCAGCGGAAGTGTAAAGCGGGCCCACAGGCCAGGACGAACTCAGCTCCGATAACATGTCAAGAGTTGAACGAGAATGAGAGAAGATTAAGTAGGGCCTAGGCTTAGTAGCCTAGGCCCAAGTAGGATATCGAGCGGGTTTCTCCTAGGGTGAGTATCGAGTGAGTTGAAGAGAAGTTGGGAGAATGAGGAGCTTCACTATAGTTTTGAAGTACATATAGCAAAGGAAACACATAAGGTGCACCACCAATACAAAGTTTAAATAACTACACTACTGCTAGAACTACATGCAGTTATAATAAATATAATTTTGACAGATGGAAATTTATTTCGCGGCGATCGGATGGACGACGACGGAGTACGACGGCGAGAAAATTCGTCTCGCGACAACGTTGATGCGCGGTCCAGCTCTTGAGTGGCTCGGAAGCAGCAGTAGCATTTTCCAGGGCGAAGCCACGTGGCAGCAGTTCCGGGCAGACCTTCTCAAACGTTTTGAGCCGATTAATTCCACTTATATTGCGCGCGAAAAATTACATCACCATAGGCAATACGGGAGTGTCGCGCAATACACGCAGCAGATGGTGGAATTTTATAATCGCATTCGCGACATTACCGAAGGCGAAAAAATTCAGTCCTACATCGCGGGGCTGAAAACTGACATTCGGCGCCAGGTTGCAGCAGCGAATTGCAGCAGCTACAGCGAAATCGTATCGGCCGCGGAGCGTTTTGACTTGGTCAACTCCGGGACACGACGACCCCACGTCGTCGGATCACGACAAGGGGATCGCTCGGCTTCAACCACGTTCGCCGACCCCATGTAAGTCGACAAATTCGACGCGAGTTCACGTCCTGCAAAAAACAAAACACTTTGCGAATTTTGCGGCGGAAACGGACATCGGATTGTCGACTGTTTTCACATGAAATCTGCACGTGCGGCATTCCGAAATCGTGGGAGTGGCGAAACTAAAGACAAAAAGTCAAAAAACGGATCTCGCCAGTGATTGCGGATCGTGCTGGCGAGAAAAAACAGATCCGAAAGCGTCAGCGCAATCTGGACCGAATCGAAATTGAAGGACAGCATTGGGCGCGAGATTTGGAGAATCAAGGGCGAAATCCCAAGCCCCTTGACCGAAATTTGTCAGAGGAATTCGCCGAGGAAAAGAAAACCTCCGCGAAAACAGACTCGACCAAGACGGGAACTCTCCAATTCGACCCCGGAAAAAAACAGAATTCGTTAAAGTTATCTTTCAAAGATGCTTTAATGAAGACTGGCGATTTTCGCGGGTCCGGAGCCATAAACAAATTCCGGGAAGAACTCCAGAGGAAGCAAACAATTAAAGAAGTGGTACCGGTGCCTACGGAGCTGGGGAAAAAATTAAGGAGTGTGGAAAGGAGTAGACCTTTTCACGGCGTCAACGTCCTCTCCCGGAACCAGCCCAAGACGTCTCTCCACTCCCCAGGGAAGAAGTCTATGGAGCTGAAGCAGCTGAAGAGGCAGCTGGGAGTTCAAAAGAAGCTGCAGAAACTCCGAAAACCCCTCCAGGATGCATCCAGTGGATCGCAGGCGTCGACCGGATCCACCCCCTCAGGGTCAACTTGTACGGTTACTACCTCTACTCCTGGCGTTGGAGAAGAGCCTTTCTCCACGCAGCCCAGGCCAGCTAGTTGTCCAGAAGAAAGCAGTGGAACCACGGTGTCTACTGAATATTGGGATGTACCCTATGATCCTATTAATGAGACTATTTTTGGGTACTCCGAGCAACGCTCACCACTCCTGCTCGAGGTGATCTGCAACGGACAGCGCCTCCAAGCACTCGTGGACAGCGGGGCGTCGCACAGCGTCTATGACAAAAAGGCAATCGATCGACTCGGAAGTGACATCAAGTCCTCAAGCTTCTCGGCAACGATGGTGGATGGCAGTAAGCTACCTATCTACGCGGAAACACGGTTGCTACTCCAGATTGGACCCCTTCGATGGAAGCCTGCTCTCCCCGTCACAAATATCAAAGGACTCGACATAATCTTCGGGAGAGACTTTCTTAAAAAGTTCAACCCCGAGATCAACTGGGTTAACCAGACGGCCAACATCAACAACAACGGGAGAAAAATCAGCCTTCCCAAATGGGACGACACGGGAAATATTCCAGTCGAGACACTCGCACGCTTTGAAAAGGACGTCAAACGGACCACGGCGGGATTCATGGCGATAGTCAACGAGGCAGACAACGGGGAAAAGCAAACCCAGGAACTTCCTCCAGCAGTCAAGAAAATTCTTGAAGAGTTCCAGGACGTTCTCCCCGACGATTTACCTGATCAACTACCGCCATACCGGACACATCAACACGAGATCGTAGAAGAGCCGGGGTCCAAGCCAACGTTCCGAGCACCATACCGGCTGAGCCCGACAGAGCTTGCCGATATGAAAAAACAAATAGAGTATCTCCTGGAGAAAGGGCTGATTCGACCCTCGACTTCGCCGTACGGAGCTCCAGTTCTCTTCACTCCGAAGCCAGACGGAAGTCTGCGAATGTGCATCGACTACCGAGCCTTGAACAAGCAGACTGTAAAAAATAAATACCCGATACCACGGATCGACGACTTACTCGATCAACTTTGCGGTGCTACGGTATTCTCCAAGCTCGACCTTAGATCGGGATACTGGCAAATTCGTATGGCGGACAACTCTATCCACAAAACCGCTTTTCGAACTCGGTACGGGTCATACGAGTATCTCGTGATGCCATTCGGACTCACTAACGCACCAGCCACATTTCAGGCGGAAATGAACCACATCCTTCGGCCCCTTCTGGACGAGTGCGTGGTGGTATATTTGGACGATATCCTGATCTACTCGAAAGATATGAAGCAGCACGTTGAGCATCTACGACGGGTGTTTGAAATTCTTCGACGAGAACGCTTCTACGTGAAACTATCCAAGAGCGAGTTTGCGTTGAAAAAAGTCCAGTTCCTTGGACATATGGTGAGCGCTCAAGGAGTTCA